ACTTCCGTAGTGATACTGCCTCGGAAACCCAAGGAGGGGTCGCTATGAGTCGGGGCCGACTCAACGGCAAATAACAACAACAACAACCTACCATACTTGGATGCACAGACCATGTAAATACCAAAGGCATACATACATACATATGAAATGACCAGCTAGGTTCATGTGTGCAATTTGAAGCCCCAGAACTTAGCAAAGATAACTTGCCTGTACCTGAATTGTCCTGTAACCTTGAACTCATTAGTATCACAGTATTTCTGACTGTTTGACTGGTCCAGCCTGTTCTACATCAGATCTAATTTCTTATGTTAGTTCTTATAATAAATCAAGCTGGAAGTTGATTCCAAGATGTATTAAGAGTTTTTAGAAATTTCACCAAAGTTGCAAAAGAGTCTAATCTTTGAAATGTCTCTGACTCTTATGAAGAAAACCTTGCCAGGCCTAGAGAATGATAACAGACACTACTCTTAGAGCATTTCTCTTTTCAGGTAATTTCCATAAATTTATCTGGACCTGTTTGGCAGTCGACCCCCTTTCCTAGGGCTGAATCCCCTGTGAGATTCTATTCTGCATGTTCTGTAGACAAGTCATGTTTAAGGTATCATGAGATGTTATCAGTGGAAACATCTTTACAAATTAGCTGGTCTAGTGGTTTTCAAATTCTGCTTTGGCAGAGAAACTCTTTCTTCGAACTAAGTATATCAAACAGATAAGGGAGCCCAATGCCTGGCACATAGTAAACTTCTCTTTTTTTCATGTGTGCATAAAGTTGGAGCTGTTTTGGTTGGCATGGTATCATAGTCCCATGTAGACACCTAAGGATTAGGACCAAACCCTAGGTTTCTGAGATAACATTTGAAAATTACTGATCTTAGCCTAGTCCATCCTCTTCCTTGTGTAGAAACTCATTGAGAAGATAAGGACCTAAAGACCAGTGACTAGAACTTGTGATTGATTTTATTGGCTATAATTATAATTTTTTGCTAAATTCTAAGTTCATCTCTTAGAATATCAAAACTTACAAGATACTCATTAAATGATGCAATTTTCTCTTTGGCCAAAACCAAATCTGGCTAATTTTCAGAAAGATACTTGCTTTTTCCTGAAGACAGACTCTCTGAGATCTGCCTTTTCCATCTTCAAATTAAGCTTTCTCTGCCCTAATTTTCACTCTGAGAAACCTTGTGAACCAGAACCACATCCTCTGTCACAGCCTGCTTACCCCCCAGAATTAGGTGCAAAAATGCCTTCTTGCTTTCTTGTTGAGTTTTTTTTTTTTTTTAAAAAAAAGAAAAAAAAACATTATTATAAATGAAAGCATTTATGTAGAGGCAACTAGACTCAGTTGAGCTTTGTGCCATTTTTGATCTAGCCAAATATGCCTGCCTGACAGTTGTTTGTTTTCATTTGCTTTTCGTTGATGCACCAAGTTAAAAATGGTCCTGCAAAACCCTTAAGTCTGCTTAGGGAATTGAAAAAAATCCAAAAGTTGCTATTTCTGCAGCATCTGTGTAGTTTTTGCAATGGAAGTGAGTGAAGAACCACATTTTCACTTTCCTTGTCATAACAAGAGCTTATTCCTGTTTCACAGCTTGAACCAAGTGTTGGAAATTTACTAGAAATGACTGTATAAATCTGTATAATACAGTATTTATTAATTCACTCTTGCAGTTGAAGACACTCAGTTGGTTCTCTTGGAGCTGAAAAGTGGTATGAGCTTTACATGTATAGTAAAGTTAAGTTTACAGCCTGAGATGATGACATTTTTTAAATGTCTCTAAAACATTAATGTTGTAGGTATCTTCGTAACTGAGAACATTTGCCCCTCATATTTTGTTGGTCTGCATTTTTTTATAGCTCCTGCCATTTCTAGACTTTGTACAGAATTTAATTGACTAGATAAAAACATAACTAAATACTACAGAAAACATAAGCTTTATATAGGAAGTTCAAGAACTTACTTAGGTTATTTAATACTTAACATAAATCTTGAAAAAACAATCACTAGTGCTTTGGTAGATGTTATATTTCATTAGTTTCTAAACAAATTCAGGCATACTATTAATGGCCACAGTGTTAATTTTTCTTATTTTATTCTCCTTCTAAGAGCTTTAGATTTTGTATTTCTTAATGAATCTCCTTCTTTGTTTTATTATTTTTTTTTTTCCCCAAAGTGTATTATGTGACCATGGTTGGATTAACTAAAGTGCCTTATGAACATTTTGGCCCATTTTAAAAGGGAAAGAATATGCCTACAAAAGAAAAAAAATCAGTTTGGCATGTTGTCAAGGTAACCAGCCTTATAGATTCCTTTAACTTGGATTTTAAATATTCTTGTGGTAGAGAGTATACAATTGTGCCCAATGTCTTCCTTCAAGAGGAAGAGAAATTGGATAAGAATGGCTTTCCAATTTGCTGTTGCACTGACGGCTGCAATAAAAACTGGCTAATGAGTCAGTCTAAGCCCTGTGTGTGTAATTGAGAAGGCCAGCTGGCAAGAAGTAGCAACTCAATGACCCGCCTGGGCAGGAGGAGCCGCAAAACCCAATGACTGGCCTTGGCCATCATCAGCTTGTTATCTGCTAGGCAGTTTCAGGATTCCTGTATTTCAAGGATATTGAATAAAGCACAGCGTAAGTTATTATGTTCTTTGTTCAGCAAATGGGGGAACACAATGATGTTAGGTTTTTCTTTATTCATTTGTTTCTGAATTCCCCTTGTTGTATTATACTACATATGAATCATTTATTTTAGTTATTGGAGAGAAAAGGGAAGAATATCTTGGCTAAGTCAGTTTCCAGCTTGTCTGTCAGTGTTTATTTCATATACTCATCCTTGCTTCTGTTTTTGTTCTTTACATGAAATATTTAGTGTAGCCAGCATCTGTGTATACTGTATGGGTAAATGATAACTCAATGACTATGACCTAATTTGCTGCTGATTTTTTTCACTACATTTGGAATAGTACATTTTACCTAAATATATAGCTAAGTTTTCTTTAAAACTACAGATGGCTCATTAGGTCTGACTAATGAATTATGCCATATATATTTCAAAACTTCCTCAGACAATAAGGTGTTTTTTTTTTCTTTTCTTTTTTTTTTTTTTACATAAAACTTTAACTGTGGGGATTTAAATAGGGATTTCTCAGAATACAGATCTGGGATTAAGTGGCATGTGAAGATTTATGAAAGAATGAAATTTTCACTCCCACTTCCCAGGCCTTTTATCATATTAAATCAGAAACCAGGGGTCTGGCAATGAAGTCCTTTCTTGTGTCTGCATTTAAGAAGGCGTTAACCATTTAACTTCATACTCTTTATACTGAAGTATGTTCAGTAGGTACCATATGAATCTAAAGAAAGACAGGTGGTTGTTGTCTTTGTTATTGCTAGTAAAGAGATTTACTAGCTGAGATTACCCACTCCTGCAGTTACATCACTAAAAGATTATTATATCTACTAAAACTGAAGATCACGAACTTTTTAAGCATAGATACTATGCCTTCACTTGCATAAACTTATACAGTGCCTGTATATATGTGTTTATTAGTTTTGTGTTCAGAGGAAAGAGTTGATCACATTTTAATGCAGTTTTATGTGTTCGTAATCATTTATTTGCAGCTTTCATTTAGCAAAAGTGTATTGAGTGCCCACTATACACTGGGCCTGTCACTAGAAACTAGGAGATCAAAAGTCAGGTTTTGATAAGTCAAAGTCATAAGTCAGGTTATAGTGGTTTAGTCTGATGCAGGATAGTAGACCACCAGGTACAATAGAATAATACAATGTCTCCTGTGATTGAACAGGCCTAGGGTGTATGGGTGGAGCATCATTACAAAATTGACAGCAGGTTAGTTTTCAGATGTGGTGATATCTAAGCAGAGGCCTTGATAGTCAAGAGAAATTGGGAGTAAAGGGGGGCATTCTTGGCAGAGAGAACATCAAAAGTAAAGGCTTTGTTAGGATATTACTGCTGTGGGGTTCATTCTCCCCTGCCACATTTGTGATTTATGAGATTACAGACTTTTGCATTTTCTAGCTGTTGCTCTGGTGGAATTCGGTGTTTCTGAATTACATTTAAAATGCTTAGTTTCAATTAATGGGTTTCAAAATATTCACAACTAAAATGACAGTTTCTGTATATTTTGTTGCAAAAACTCATGTTGTTATGTACAACTAACAAAATGTATAAACTAAGGCTAGGCCTTCTAACATAATAGTCTATAACTTTTAGCAAATCTATAACCTCTCTTAAACTCTGTCTCTTCTTTCTACATGGAAGGACTTAAACAGTAAAATTTCCTTAAGCTCTTTGAACTCTAAAGTGCTATTATTTTAGAGGTATAAAAAGAAGAACTGAATAAAAATTAATGAGAAGGAACACAAATTGAATTTTTAAATAAGAGAGATAAAGTTCAATATTTAAGTTTTTCTGATTTAGGTGTTTTGGGCAAAGCCCATTTTTCTTGTGCCAGATTTAGGAAGACTACTTCCATGAAATGACTACACTATTGTAAATAAGTCCTTTAAATTAAAAGATAAACTAATTATATATATATTTATATTTATATATTTTAGGACTCTACTTTTCTAAATAACCCTTTTAAATTAAACTATGAGTAAATTATACATATTTATATTTTTTTAAAAAAGAAAAACATGTTTGTAACTCTTGTGTGCATATGTTCACTTTCTTAACTACAGCTTCTGAGAAAAAGGCACATAGGAAATGACATCGTTACCATTGTCTTCCAAGAGCCTGGCGCACTTCCTTTTACTCCAAAAAGCATCCGGTCTCACTTTCAGCATGTCTTTGTCATTGTCCGAGTGCATAATTCATGCACTGAAAATGTGTGCTACAGGTGAGTCATTGCTCCCTGATCTACTACTCTCCTAGTTCTACTTTGACAAAGCAGCCTTTCCCAAAATAGCTCTGTTTTTCTGATTCTTATCTTACTCCCAGAGAATACTTTCTAATTATATTTTCCACTGTCACCACTTAGCTATTTTCTTTAAGAAATAATTGCTTTCTTCCTATTTTGCCCCCTTAAAAAAGCCTTGCAGTTCAAAATGGTGGATTAAATGTTTCCTGTATCTTCCTCTTTCAAACTTCATCCAACCCCTGCCAGATCCACCAGCTTAATTGATCCCAGCCTCCACATTGGATGATCTGGACATTTAACTTTTTGTTTTTAGGAGAAGTAATTATTGTCATTGTGGAAGTCAAGCATTTCTTCTCATTCTAAGATCTTGGAAGCACTTAATACCACAAGTCTGCTGAAATAGAGTTGACAATTGCTTTGATGATTATAGGAGGCCATGTAAGTGCCTCAGAGCCAGAGACACTGTCTACCAAACCTACTTTTAGTCTTTACCTATTCATACTCTTTCTTAGACAGTAACTACAACCGCAATGTCATGCAGTGTGGGGTATTTGTAAAAAGAGTGGGCCTTTGATTCTAATAGACTGTGTTTGAGTCTCAGCTCCACCACTGATCATGGGGCTTGGTGGGAGTTATTTTGTTCTGTCAAGCCTTCAATTCCTTGTCTTACATTGAAGATCATAGTACCCACTTCAAAGTCTTGTTATGAAGAATAAATAGCATAAATTATGCAAAATGCCTATTGGAGTTCCTGGCACTTGTCAGCCTCCTTTTATAATCTGAAAAACAGTAGTTGCAAATTCATATACCAACTGAGGGTGGACAGGGAAAATGAATGCACTGAAAGATGGGCAGAGCCTTCGAAGACTGTGACACACACACCCTCAAGGGCAAAAGCATCTATAGCCAAAGAAAACTATTCCGTATGTTGGATGTTGCCATTTACATCTCCTGCCCTCATCCAGCCTGTCTTAAAAGAGCACAAAGTCTGAAAATTAGTGGTCCTTAGCCTTAATTATGCTTGAATCAGCTTTAACTGTTCCGATTTTCTGGGCCTATTGTGAAATACTAGTGTGCTTCACTTAATGTCCATTTGGACAGTGTCCAACTGCATATATGGTCCCATAAGGTGTTTTTTTGTTTGTTTGTTTTAAAGGGAAAGCAGCTCTCTTCCTGTTTATTATTTCCCCTTGTTGTTGTTATGTTATTGTTGTTATTTGCCGTCGAGTTGGCCCCGACTCATAGCGAACCCTCCTTGGGTTTCCGAGGCAGTATCACTACGGAAGTAGGATTGCCCAACCTTCATTTCCCTTAATGGTTTTAAATACCCCAAACTCTTTAAAAAGTCAGAAACCTGGACAGAGGAGCAGTCAGCCGTAGGGATCCAAGTGAGGAGAGAGAACCTAGCCACGCCCAAATCAGAAGGACATGAGAGTGGGAGAAAGGGGATTAAAAGCCAGGAACCAAGACAGGAGCAGTCAGCTGCAGGGATCCAGGTGAGGAGAGAGAACCCAGGCTCGCCCAAAGCAGCAGGGCGGGAGAGTGGGATAAAGGGCATTAAAAGGCCCAGGAACCTGGACAGAGGAGGAGTCAGCCACAAGGACCCAGGTAAAGGTGGTACGAGAGGTTTCCAACAGGGAGACAAACTTGTCTGTCAGTTTGTCCTACCATGGTGACGTGTTGATGTGAGTTTTGAGGCTGAGCCACTGGAGTTTCAAACCCAGCGGGATGCGCATAGGGCACAGGTATCAGCCCAGCTTACAGACTGAGACAGACTAGGAAGAAGAAAGAGTCCGCCCACTTCTCAAAGAATTGGCCAGGGAAAACCTTATGAATAGCAAAGAAACACTATTTGATACATTACCGCGCAACTTTATGAATAGTCCAGTTAGGTTAGAAGGTTCTCAAAATAAGACTGGGAAAGTGTTGCATCACCTGAGTAAACCCAGCCTTACTCATATGGATAAGGTAAAGCTTTCGAGATCTCCATTTGTTGATGTGGCACCACTTGAATTGAAGAGAAACAGCTACAGACATCCATTAATCATTGGAACATGGAATGTACGAAGTATGAATCTAGGAAAATT